TAAGAACAGTTTTGGGAGCCTTGAATTATTAAAAAAATGGTTTGTTCTTTTATCACTATATCCTCTAAGGAGAAAGCTTTTTAGATAAATTTTGGAATTTTTAAGTAATTAATGAATGCATCTAAGGATTGTTTTTATTGTTATTTCACAGCCCTCGTGGCTGTGTTGTACCAAATTGCATCCACTTTGTTAGGAAACCACTAACAGATGAAATATTTAGCAGTGAAGAAATTTGGTGGCAACCTATTATGGTACAATGATTGAAATGTCTGTAGAAGTAATCTGCATTCCTAATGCTTGATTTTATACACTTGTGGCCATAGAAGTCATTAAAACGTCTATAAGTCAATGATTTGCAAGGGTGTTCCAAAATATTTTTCAATGTAGTGTACTATATATACACATACATACAAATATGTAATGAAAAGGTATACTGTTGTTTTTGTTACAGTAATTAAAAGCATATTTAAAGAGTTGATTTTTGAGAATGTTATATAACAAATGTGAATTTTATATATAGATAAATCCTACCCAACAATTTCACTTTTGGGTTTGAAGGAAGAAATTAACAATTTTGTTAACAATTTACATAACCAAGACAGTAAATTAAGCAATACATTTTTACCACGTTCTTCCCCAACACCTCAGACATGGCACTGAGCAACTGCTGACCTGATCCACTCAACTGCTGATTTCAAACCACTGCATCGCTGGTGGACATTAAGTGGTCGACTGCAGCAAAATAGCTTGCTCATCCTGTGGTGATGGTTGTAGCACAAACATTCAAGTTCAATTGAGTTAAGTGTAAAGTATTTTGCAGAATTGCAAAAGGCATATTTTCAGTCTGTTTCTCACACTCACCATACCCTTTTTGTATAGTAGAGGGATACATTCATAACATTCCAGATTTACAATTTTATATAAAGCTTGATGTTAGGGTTAGGCATTGCATAAAACCTTGAGTTTAACATACCTGTTGAGCAGGAATTCCATATACAGTATTTGGCATTTTGTTTGAAAAACATTCCATCAAATCCCCGCATCCTGTAAAAGCACCATCAATGCTTATCCATTTTACCTTGTTGTCTTTGTCTTCATACTTTGGTCAAATATAATAAACATTTTGTTACCTTGGAATTATACTATAATTATACTATCTGCGTTCTGAATGATTTTGAGATAATGAGCTTCAAAGTTTTTGCATTCCATATAGTTAACAGTATGTGTGTAACATTGGCTTTTTTTTTTTTTTTTTGATAAAATCTTAAATGTAAACAACTTATGAAAATTATCCCATAATGTAAATAAGTTGTCATTTAAGAGGAATGTCAATAACTTAATTTTGACAAAAACGTCAGATAGAACCTTATGATTCTAAGGTGACGATATATATAAAAATATATATATATATATTTCTTGTTAATTTCCGTCTGCAGCTATATCCCTTCTAGCACCAACCCTTAATTGCTTTTACACAACGATAAATACCAACTGGCTCAGCTTGCTGCTACAGTAGCCACGGCCCAAACTCACTATTGGTCAAGTTTCAAAATGATTGACACATTTGAGATTGACACTTCTCAGTGTTTTGATGTTGCCTTGAAGGCTCAATGTTTGTACTTTCCGGGGAGATAAACAACAATTGATATGATAAAAAGCAAACCATGACACTGCTATAGATTCACTATTACCTGCTATGCACCTTTTTGGTAGACACCACATTCCTTGGATACCCCTTATACAAAATGTGTTACAAGGAGGCTTGGGTTTACAAGAAAAAAGGGTTATTTCTAAATGAAGGGATCAAAATCTAAGCATCCATGTATTCTACTTCATATTCAATTAGTCAGTTGGAAACTTGCACAAGATAGCACACTATAGCACACTAGACTTTTCAAATCTTAACAATTCTAAAACCTTGGAAAATGACAGACAAACGCATAATGACTGTTCAACCAGACCACACACCTGTCAATTGTAACCTTTTTCTATAGTACCAATTCCCAATGCATGGTATCTCACATAAACTTAATCATTGTCCGTTAGTGTGCAGACTAGTGTAATGAAGACTTCATATGGAGCTGTAAAGTACACAATTGAAGATAAGTTTATATGGAACATTTTAATTGGTTTAAATTTCCAATTTGAATAGAATGGCTCCATATAAACACCTCAATTGGAATAAAAAAACATACTTAAACAAATGAAACTGCACTATAGTTTGAGAGGGGTTGCATAAGCCTTTTTATAAATTTCTGCCATGTAAACATATTAAAATGGTTATTTTTAACATATTTATACATGTGGTGTAATTTCCTTTCAAAAGCACATATTAAGCTTTACAATTCATCAACAGCAGTCATCTTTTGTAGGTTACTTATGTCCAGATGTGTTTTATTTTTTTGTTTGTTTTGTTTTTAAAGATGGTTTCGATGTATATCAGGATGATTTTGAAGTGCATAGTGAAAGATAAGCCAGATATTGAAGCATTGTTTATGTTGATTTAGAATAATTTCGACTAAAAGAAATGGAAAATGAATGGAAAACAATGTTTCATGTTAACTCACCAACCCCAGCAGGCACACAAGGTCATAAGATGATAATATGATAGGGTGAATTTAGGTTATGATGTCAGGTAAGCAAAATTTAATGTCTAGCCAGTGTCTAAGGACAACATTATTATAAAGATAATGTAATGATGTCCAATAATGACATCAAGTGACATTAACATTTGGTTGATTTTAGGTTGTGTTGGAAAGCAACCAAAATCCACTTTGAGCCAACATCTTAAACCAACATCATATTGATGTCAGATACTGACATTTATTCGTCAAATATGGCAACCAAAATTTAATGTTTGATAGACATCATAGTGGTAATGTCCACACAACAGCAAGCTGCAACATCATTAGACGTTGATATTTGGTTGATTTTACATTGAGTTCTGACATCAACCCGATTTTCATTTCAAAAGAAAACGCAACGTCGCCTTGTCGATGGTGTAAAACGTCAATCTGACACCATGTTGACATCCTGTGCCTGCTTGGAATAATCCCAATCAGAATGTTTTTAATCTAAATGACGAAGTGTACATGTAGCAAGTTTAAAACTAATATGCTGTATAACCTTGAAATACTCCAGAAAAATATACCTGGAGATACTCCCTCTGTCTGCATGCAGTTAAATATGCCATGTGTTTGCTTTCTTTTCATTCTTTTTTTTTTCCCAGAATAAAAGTTGAAGCATTTACATGCAGGGCAAAATCTGGGTTGTGGGAAAAGAAATTTAGTTTGTTGTCAATTGGTTTGTTTCAGCTTTTTATAAACAATGTTTACATGACCACACACATTTGCTTATTTCATGATCAGTTTAGGATTGTAAGTTAACACACTCAAAAAACAATAAACTGGATTTATTTGTATTTTTTTTTTGTAACAAACACATTTGTTATGTTTATGCCATTGTTCTATTGGCTAAAATTAAACTGCCAGCTGACAAATAAATAAGAAATGTCTACTTGGATTGTCTGTGCCCCTGTCTTATCACCATGATCCAAGGGTTTCTCTTCCCAGAAGAAGCATCAGAACGAGTGCTGAAGATCTGGCTTACTGTCAGGCAGATCACTGAAGAATAGGGATTTCAGCCTGTCGAGCAGGCCAGGCTTTGGCTTCTGTTTCCTCCCTGCTGTGATGTTTGTTTGGAAGTCCTTCGGCACTTGTAACCAAACAATCTGAGCATTGTATGAGCCATTTAATTTCCTGTCTAGATGCTTGATACAAACAAAACATGCTCACTATGTATCAGGAATCCATCTATCAGGTTGAAAAGCAGTAAATTACTAGAGAGTTCGATAGGAACGAGGCAAAGGAAATTAATCTTAAGCTTTAGGAATCCATTACATTATTCTCAGCCACATTCCCACAGATTCCAATAAAAGTCTCCTATTTATTCATGAGGATAGACCGACTGCCCCAGATATATCCTTAAGCTTTGGGTTTTAAGGGGGTTGTCATGGTTGGGTTAACACTGAACTGATTCTCAATCCAAAATGCATGAGTGGGTACATTTTCAGGAATCTGAACATGACATGCTGCGCTGGGAGTGATTAAGGTCTCTGCTCCTGTATATATTTCTGAAATGCTTGCTTTATCACTGGTATCTTTGTAATTAAATCAGTTGGCTTTTAATATCATTAAAAACTGAGCATTACTGCGTATTATACAGATAACTTACACTATTACATATTAACATTTTAACAATAGCATTATTATTTTTCAAATATATATTTTTGATTTACAATGAAATTATAATAAATAGAGTATGAAATAAAAAATATATTGTGATATATGTACACAAGCACAAGATGTGACATATTTTGCCACAAGCACTAGCCACAAACAACTTATAATAATAATAATGATATATTATAATAATAGGTGACGCAGTGGTGCAGTCGGTAGTGCTGTCCCCTCACAGCAAGAAGGTCACTGGTTCGAGCCTCGGATGGGTCAGTTGGCATTTCTGTGTTTGCATGTTCTCCTTGCGTGGGTTTCCTCTGGGTGCTCCGGTTTCCCCCACAGTCCAAAGACATGCGGTACAGGTAAATTGGGTTGGCTAAAATTGTCGATAGTGTATGAGTGTGAATGAGTGTCTGTGAATGTTTCCCAGAGATGGGTTGTGGCATCTGCTGCGTTAAAACATGCTGGATAAGTTGACGGTTTATTTTGCTGTGGTGACTCCGGATTAATAAAGGGACTAAGCCAAAATTAGTCCCTTTCTAATTTCTATAATACACAATTATTAATATGTTTAACAGTATATTTTGAAATGTTATTTATTTGATTGCATTACTGAAATGTCTATTTTCAGTTTTATGTCACCCATAATGAAAGCTTTAAATACTTTATAAGTTTTCCTTATTGCTATACTTACAGTAGTAAAAGTAAAGCATTAGACTAAAGGAATAATATTTTATTAAAATATTTATTAAAAAAAAGTTTTTTACGTTGTGTCTGAGGCCCAGGAGGAGATGGTCATCAGTGGCAGAGTGCTGTTGGAAAGATCTTCCTCTCAGGATGAATATCTTCTCTGCTCAGGCTCTGTGTCAGCACTGCTGTTTTGTAGTCTGCTCACATCATGTACACAGTCCAGTAAAGTACACCCTATCAGAAACTGAGATAGATGGAAGGATGGATGAATGGATGTGAAGGGTTTGTAATATCAGTTCACATCAAAACTACTCACAACATGTCCAGCAGGATTTCTAAAGGGAGAATAATCGTCACGTAACAAAGTTTACATATTTTTCTGGTCAAATTTTTGTTCATTTTCAGATGTACACTCACTCACTCTTCTCTGAGTGTTTTTTAAAGTTTATTATTAAACAGGAACAGTGTTGATATTTGCAAAGGGTACCTAGCACGGCAAAGGGGTACCAAAGGGTGGAGCTAGACGCGCAACTTAACGCTATTGGTTTAAAGAGATACGTCACTCACTCATGCAACAAGCCAGAATGAAAATAAAGGAAGCTGCATTTTTAAATTAACAGCTGAAACATTACACTGTAATAATATATACAGTACAAATAATAACAAGCCATGGTCAACCCGAGCTCAAACAAACCTTGTCGTCATCTTGATGAACAGCCACAAAGCCAAGAAAAGCAGATTCTACCCTGTGCCCCTAGTTTTTTTATGAGGGCGTCGAAAGTGCGAGCGGTTTTACTTTCTAGCTTGCACAATCTTTTTTCTGCTCGTGTTTCTATATTTGAAATAACAAACTTCTTGAGTTGACCATAATAACGTGCGCTTGATTATTGAAGTGCTCCTGACATCCATTCCTGTCAGAAACGAACAAACTCGAGACTGTCGCACAAAAAACAGAGAAGCCAAAAAAAAAAAAAAAAAGAGCAAATGATGTTTTTCAGCAAACATGAACAAACTGCCATGTTTATATATTATCATCACCTTTTGGACTATTATAAACTGGGAATGATGGATTTACTATCTTACAAGTAAATGTGCACTTTCTAACATGTGCTGGTGAAGATTACAGATACGATGAGAGGTTTGCACTGACTGTGGGCTATGCTGAATGTACTTTTTGAAGCAAAATAAGGACTAAATGTATGCTGTGTGGAGTTTTTCTGCAATTAGTATCATATCAAAGACTGTAAGGGTCTGCATATGTTCATATATGTTGCATTTATTAATTTATTTTATATAATCACAGATGTTAAAGGTGACCTGTACCAACCCCTACCGTTCTGTACCACTCATCGGAAACGAGCCATAAATGTGTCTTTTTATATACTGTATGTTGGTTGAATATACTAAACATTTAATTTTCTGCTGCCCTTTTTTCTATAATTTTAGGTTAATTTTAATTTAACTTAAACCTCACAATAGTTTATTTTGTTAACAAAATGCTTTTTCTTCTGATAAACAGGTTTGCATTATTTGCATCATTAATCTGTTATTTATCTTAGCAAAGTTTTACTTTCAAAAATAAAACATAATTAAGAGGCCATTATATATTTTGCAACACTAGTCTTAATATATATTTGACACCCCTTTTTAATATCATACTTAAAGCTTTTCCAAATTCTATAATTGCCCTAATTTTTATATACACTTTATTTTTATCATATATAATCATTCAATCTTTCACTGTGTGTGCAGCTCCAGTACTATTAATCATAAAACTTTTACCTGCAATAATATAAAATTAATGTACATTTCGCAAGAGCACATATGAGATAATGTACAGCCCATAACTCATTCTAGCACTCTTACACACTCACATTTTCCTTTCTTGATCGCCCATTATTGCTCACATATTTCTTTCACATACACAGATTTTCACTCTCATAAACTTGCATTCCACTCTTAAACACATACACACTGCTAACATACACATATATTTTTGCTCTTACATTAAACTAGTTTAATGTATGCATTTTTGTTTTTTCTCTCATATTAATATATTTCAACACAGATAATAAAAAAAATGTAAATACAATAAAATAAATAAACTGACAAATGTATGTACAGGAATTTTTTTTGTATTTCAAACGCAAATGTTGTGTTATTAATAATAATTGCATGTAAGAAGAAAATGCATGGATGACCCAAAACTAAATGTGTATGTAAGACTAGAATAGATTTTTGTGTGAGAAAGTATATTGGAAATGGAAAGAAAATTATGGGAATGGAAGACAGGATTGGTGCCTGTCTGGTGCCTGAATCGGTGTCACGTTCAGGAAATGTCCTTATCAGCATGGCTGAAATAGATGAGGGGACCACAGTAGGACTCCTGCAGGATATTGGAGTTTTAAAAAATAATTTATCATCGCCTCAAACGATTTGAACTTTGGCTTCATCACTTGAGTTACCCAGGAAAAGCTCACCCGCAAATATTCTCACAGGGTCCTGGTGACCTTTTTGTTCCACCATTTGTTGAAATGTAATTGTGAAAGTAAAAGCAGATACTACTAAACTTCTTTATTTATCCTCAGCTTACTTATTCATGCTCAAAAATAGCCAGATTGAGTAGTGGTTGTTTTATAAATCATGCTAATTAGTCACAAAGTATGAACTGGCAGATGATTGCTGAATGTCAGCCAGACGAGCCTCATGGATGCTCTGACTGGCACTGATGTTCCACACTGTTTGACATCGTGGCTCAGTCTCAAGCCTAAGCATGTATGGCCCACTTTGCTCACTTAATCAAAGTTGGATGAAACATATGGTATTAATTGTACCCAGCTTAAATGTAAAATAAAGTTACTTGAGAGAAACAAAGAGAGACAAGGGAAGGGAAAAGAGAGGGTGAGCAGAGATAGGCCCCATAGAAAGCCTGATAGAGCCAGAGAAGATATAATCCAGCGCAGGAAAAGGCAGAGCAAAGTTTACCGCATGTTTTGTTTCTTTTGTAACCATGTGACCAAAGCCCAAATACTGAGACATACAAACTGACCAATCAACATGACCACATCATAAAACCCCCAGTCTTCACAAATATTAAACAGGCCCTGATCTTATGAGTGTCTGCCCTCTTAATCTGTATAGACCTTCTTGGTGGAAAATACATAATTTGCACTTTTACAGATTATTATAAAATTTAGCTCTCTCATCATCCACAGGCATGGGTTGCTGTCACAAATAATAAAAATGATTCAAATCATGGTTTGTTTTCAACTGTGCTGTTTGAGTCCAAGACACATTTTCTGAAAAAGGACAATAAAGTACATCAACTCAATGTCATACAGGGAGGAGGAGCTCTAGCTCCACCCATTTGACTCTGCAGCAAGCACCCTCTCAAAAATGGTCAAAATATTCAACGTGACTTTAGTGGTTCAACTGTAATCAAATGAAGTTCCAAGAACACTTTTGAGTGGCAAATATATACATATAATAATAAAAACTTATATTTATACATATGTTTTCTTCTGCCTCAGGCACATTTACTGTATATGTGCAGTATGACATATTACCTTTAGAATCAGCAATGCGGCATGCAAGCATCATATTGCTTATAATAAATGTGCACCCTAATCTAACAAAGAAGACATAGTTGAGACAAAGTAGTTTTTAATGTTTGTTTGTTCTGTTTTTGTTTTGTTTGTTTCTCTCCACAAAACAAAAGTGTTCTTAGAGCTTCTTATGATTACAGTTGAACACTGAGTTCACATGGAATGTTTTGGTTGCTTTTCCGGACATTGCATTTATCTGTACTATTGCTGTCTATGGAGGCTCAGAGAGCTCTTGGAATTCATCAAAAATATTTCAGTTTGTTTTCCGAAGAAGAATGAAGGTCTCATAGAATTGAAATGTTATGAGTAATAAATAAAAGACTTAAGGAAGTTCAAAAAAACTATTGCAAGATGGTTGTTTGATGAGGATAATTAGTTTGCATGGTGAAAGAGAATGTTTTGTTTTATATGTTACTTGATTGTGAATAGGATTGCAGCTGGAAGGCCATCCTCTACATAAAACATATGCTGCATAAGTTGACGGTTCATTCTGCTGTGGCGATCCCTAATTAATATTTTGTTCCTGTTTTAAAATGTGGATGTACTGTTTGTTTCATGCATCATCTGTATTTTGAAGACATACTTTGTTTTATTCAACAGCGAGGATCGCAATGAAAACAAGCCCAGGGCTTTATTGTGTTTTTATCCTCGAGAGTTTTATTTCAAAATGTATGGGATACTTGTATTTTTGTACAGCTTGTCTACAATCTGTCAAATAAAATTAACTTTAATTCAATTAATAACAAAATAAAACATTTTCGAGTGAACTAATCTAGTGTTGGATGCATATTCCTGTATACCTGTTACTTTTAAACAGTGATGATGAAACCAATCTGCAAAATTAAATTTGGTCCCACTTTAGATTAAGTGGCCTTAACTAATATGTACTTACACAGGATTTAATAGTTTGTTACAATGTACTTATTATATAAATAATTATATAAATACATGTATTTACTGTGTACTTATGCTTGATTAAATACATGTATGTAATTACATCTGTATTTAACTTTTGTAATTACATTTGTAAATACACTGTTGACCATCCCTTACACCTAAACCCACCCTTAAACCTACCCATACCACCAAACCTGTCCATAACCGAACCTCTATCCCAACTCAAAATCACCACAAGTGTTCATATATGTATTATGAACACAGTAAGTACATTGTATTTTTTTTTTTTTTGATGTAAGTACACAGTAGTTAAGGACACTTAATTTAAAGTGGGACCTTACATTTTTTTTATTATAATTCTGAAAAAAAAAATACTTCAGTGACTGTTCATTTAAAACTAAATAAGTGCAACAGCAACTGCTATATATCCAGTGGCTATTGAAAGTGCAATCTCCTAAATGCAAACTACAAACATAAAATACTACTCAATTTGAACTGTATGTGAAACAAGTTCTTAAATTTGTATGATTTGTTTAGCATTTTAAAGATAACTTATTGTAAATATATGAATTAAAAAGATATGGTTCATGTGTTAACAACTAACTACTGAAATTTCTAATTCCGCAATGGAAACATGCGGGCACACACATACGCAAATGTGAAGTGGTTCAAAAGTGCCCAATATGATTTTATATATTCAGTCATATTTGAATCCTGTATTGTAAAGCTGATTTTAAGTGTCTAAAGTCTACTTCAAAAGCTCTAAAATGTAACATTCAGAGCAGACTGAAAAGTCTTCACCTTGGACACTTGTCTGGTGTGCTTCACTTCTATTGTTTGGATTGTAAAACCACTTCAGTCCACTGCACAGTTTAGAGAGGCTCAGTGTAATCTTGGCTTGAAGAGTGTGCGAACTTTAATAGTGGGCTATATAAAACAACAACAAAATAAACTTTTAGATGTCAGGCACCTATTCGAAAGAGCTAAAGACTGACAGAGAGATAAACATTTGCAACAGGCATTGTCAATTTATTCTGTTACCATATACTGCCTTTAAAAAAAGAGAGAAAATTGTTATGCCATAACAAATGACATGTACTGTTACCAAGCAGCAAAGTGACTTTAGTTTGAATAAATCATGGTAGATTATAAATACTTATATACATGCATTGATATACATATCTGTACACAATTCTAAAGTACAACAAGCATGGATGCACACATGCAGACACACACAGCTATCGTTATTAGAATTTCCATAGACAATGAGTTTTGAACTGTACAAACTTCTGTTTTCTATCCCCATATCCCTAACTCTACCTAACCCTCAACATTCATCATTTTGTAATTGTAGTTTAAAGATTTTCAACAAAAGATTTCATTCTCTCTCAGTCCTTTTCCTAAAGTGGACCAAAAACTGTCCCCATAAGGTCAAAAATGAACTAGTATTGCTTTATCTGTGTTATATCTTTATCTTGCATATACAAATGCACGCACAAAAATAAAATGTTCAGACATGCTGAACAATACAGGAACAATTTAAAATTTCAGCCCGTTTAAGATTCTGAGACATTACTGTCTGTGTTGTGTATTATATATCTGGCTAGAGATATATTTTCACTATTGTGACACACAAGTGAACAGCTTGTGAAGGCAGTCTTTAGTAGCTTTTTTCTCTGTCCATCTCTTAGCAACCACTATTACAGATAATGTGAATAAATTCAAGCCACACTGAAGAATTTGTGTGGGGTCAGAGGGTTATTTGAGCTATGGTATATCTTTTCCTAGCAATTTGCCACTGTATAGATAATATTATAGTTTCTAATTAGCATGCGCAAATATGTATTCTACAGATAAACAATCCCTTATTAAGAAGCATTATGTACAATTATACTGATGTTGATGTATGAGTGGCATTGAACGAAAACATAACTTTTAATAAAGCTGCTTATTATGAATGCAGAGTTCGTGCTGATGTATATTAAAATTGAATGCGTCAGTGGAGAGAGAGAAAAAAAATACATTCTGTTATACTGGTTAAAATGAAGGAACTTCCTCATCATAATTTGATTCAGTTGCACTCATTTATGATATTTGATACTAGTGATTGAAAATATGAAGGACATGACCTTGCTGACAATGGAGCCTCTCATTTCAACAGGACAGTTTCCGAAGTTCATTTGCAATTACTGCTTCCAGCTGCTACAAGACAAACTGCATTTGATTTCCCACAGGCACACAGACTCATCGCCAGCAGACTTCAGCCCAACAAGTTTATATTGTCAACAACAAGTTTGATTACATGACTTATGTATGGAATAATTGCAGAGGAGACTTATTAGTCATGTGTAAAGTAATGTGATTTACAGAGGTGGTAATGTGAAGCACATTATTTAACAGTTATCCAACAATTCAATGGCCCAGAGTCAGTTATTATGCACACACTTGGGTATGGTTGGTATGGTTATTATACCAAGAGACAGTGGTCTCATTCATGCATACTAATTTGGTCATGACATATGCATTCACATTTTGCACACATGGACAAATCCTCATTAATCAATATTTGCATTAAAATTGATACATTTACAACAAAAATATTAGTTATAACAGCTAATTGAAGTTTATTTATAAGGTAATTTTGAGAGCAGCACATGCTTATGATTGACCACAGCTGGTCCCACATTAGCTTTACCAATCAGATGAATCCAAATGCACATAAATAACCACATATTCTTACCTTAGTCATTTTCACCTCAAAGAATCCCCCATCCATCCCTACTCATCCCCCTCTTTCTGAGATTAATCCAGAACAAGGTGGCACGGTGGCTCAGTGGTTAGCAATGTGGCCTCACAACAAGAATGTCGCTGGTTCGAGTCCTGGCTGGGCCAGTTGGCGTTTCTATAAGGAGTTTACATATTCTCCTTCTGCTCGCGTGAGTTTTTTTCCGAGTACTCCAGTTTCCTTCCACATACTAAAAAAATGTTGCAAACAAATTATATGCGTTTAATTTAAAACAAACAAATTTAATTTAGTAACATTCAACCTAATTTGTTTGTTTAAATTCAGCCCAAATAAATTGTTTAAAAGCACTTAACTTAAAAAAAATGTAAATCCAAAGAATCATCTTTTAATATTTTTGTTTTTTCAGTGACATGCAGTAAAGTGAATTGAATAAACCAAATTGGCACAGTATTTAAGTGTCTTAGTACTGAGTATTCAACGCTTAGCCATATGCTGGTTAAGGTGGCGGCAGTGGTGTAAAGTAACAAATTACAAATACTCAAATTTTCGTAATTTAGTAGTTTTTCTCAGGAATTGTAATTTACCAAGTAGTTGTAAAAATGTGTACTTTTAATTTTCCTTGAATACATTTTTAGTGCTGTATCAATACTTTTATTCCACTACTTTACTTCAACCTACAGTCACTACTTAATTTTTTCTTGTCTATGGGATTGGCTAAAGTAAAACAATAGGTTCTGTGATTCCTGTCCAAATTGTACACAGAAACTAACCTGCATTATATTAAACTACCTCAAGACATGGGTGCTATATAAAGGCAACTAACCATTTGGATGCATTAGGTGTTAAAGAAGATGTCCAAAATAACTCTGAGACTGTATGACTGTGATGAAACTGGATGATAGATGTATGATGACTGAATTGCCCTAATCACTAAATGCACTGCAGAATGTTACATTTTCACGTACATACATGCATATATATTGCATGTAAACACATTAGATTTTCACAGTATAATACTCAATACAACTTTTGAGTACTAATTGAGTGCTACATTTTACTTGTACTTTGAGTAATATTTACAACAGAAACTTTTACTTGCACTACATTTTTGGGCAAGTAATGGTACTTTTATTTGAGTATGATTTTTCAGTAATCTTTCTTCCACTGGTTGGCGGTTCAGTCCATCATGGAAACCCTAATAATCAAGGAATAGGCCAAGCGAACAAATTCAGGGGAGCTTGCGAGACCTACCTGAGCTCAGACTTCCCTTTCTCCTAATGAAATGGGAAGGAGCCCCAGGCTCAAGCATCTTCTGAGTTCAGGGCGCTCTTCCGGGACAGCATGCCAAACATACTTTATTATTAATCATCAGCTAAGTGTGAACTCATGAAAACCCATATCACATATTTTGGCAGACTTCATCAAATCACCAAAATCAGAAAATGGTCATACTTGCTAATCATTTTCTGAAGTTCTAGTCCGTAGGGCTTCTCTTTGAAGCAGATTTTTCAAAACACTGTTTTTTTCAAGATATTGCAGTGCAGTGATAAAACGTGTATTGATGATGAGAGGGCTTTTGTCACTGAGGGTGTTTAGTATTCAAATTGTCTTGGTTATGAATAAGTCATGTCAGAAACTGCATCGTTAGAATCTTTATGAACAACACAGCTCACGGTAATCAGAAAGCTCATGGTGGCCAAAAAAGATCTGCCATAGCCTTTATTATTATAAAAAGTATCTCAGTCAGGGCTGTCTTTCCAAAGTCAATCCCGCTAAAGAAAGCAAGCGGTCTGCAAGGACATGTACCCCGAGAAAGAATGTAGGTGAGGGTTATCAACCCCTTATTAGCCTCTTCCTCCATTCAGCTGACAAGATTCAGGGCTAACTGTGACAGCCAAACTATTAGTGGTAATAAGAATCAATAGCAGTTTGAAGTGCATTGGCAGTTCATACAAGAATGGCCTCTCAAGGATTCCATTTTTAGCCTTTAAGCACAGTATGTCCCTGGCTCGTTCTGCCAAATAAGCGGCACTGACCGGAGGGTCAGGCTGAGGTTCAATGCACTAATTGAATGTGGCATTTCACTTCTCAACTGTCAAACTGTTAGAGAAATTCTGACTCGTGGTTATTCCTCAACACATCTATAATTAATCATAATATTGTGTGGCAATCATCTTAAAAATGAATACCTGATTTATATATTATCATATGGTTAATTCACATACTGTATATACACACAGAGAGTGTTTTATTTAGGGCTGCAGTCTGTTAAGGCCCACTGTATGTAATTGAAACTATCTAGCTCCCCATTTCATCAATTAATGTAACTATTAGAAACGTAGATCTAAAAGTATAGATTCTTCCATTTTAAATGAACATCAAATTAATGTCAAAGCCTGCATAGATAGCGTTTCATCTAATCTGAACATATTAAATGATGGAAATCCTGTACAAGAAAAGAATATGGAGAGCCCATGGCAATACATTGAAAGCAGAATGAGAAATTAAGCTTAACTCTCACTGAAACCCATTTGGAAAGCCATACTCTCCATGAATGGCTTCATAGAAGAACAGCTTGCAATTTTCATCTAACCCTTTCAGGCATATTGTGTGCAGAGTACAGTCTGTGCAATGTGTTGGCTTGAGTGTTCTTACAACTACTGTGATCTATACTCAAGCGTAGACAAAATGACTTAAAGGTTCTTTTAACAATGACAAAACATGGCACAATAGACATTGTTTTTCTGTAGCTACTATTGAGATATTCTATTTTGTAATGTATTTAAACATTGAAATTCTATTTCATGAACCAGTAAAAAAAAAATTAGTTTTTTATTAGTATATCTATTTTTCATCTAGTTTTATAAAATTAAGATTATTAGTTTTAGCTGTATATTGTATATCAACCCCAGATCTCAAAATTAAACCCTAATTAGGTGCCTTCAGCACAGTGCAATTTTGTCCATGATTTAGTTATGCTAGACAAATATGGGTTATTCTAAAAGATTCCTCATATCTTAGGCTATAATCTTTGATTGTTGGTTTGACATGTTCACCGACAGCTTCTAAATGACTGTTGCAATCAGATCATTCTCTCTGATGAAGTTCTGGATGTGTCAGAAGATTTCAGACCCTTTCCTGTGGTTTTACTTCAGTTTTAATGACCATCAAAACAAGAAACAAAGTATGAGTGCCAAATCTGATGACGCAATCAGCATGACTTCAAACAACCATGGAGAAATGTCAAAACAGGATTTTCTGGATTTATCATTAAGACATGTTAAGAGTAAAATTAACGCTACAGATTGTTTATGTTGTGTAAAAAAAAAAAAAATCACACAGTGCGAGCTGGGCTGTAAGGATGTTTGATCAGGGCTGTAGCTAATCTCTAAAGGATAGTGGATCCTGAGAGCCCTCCATTCCCTTGTCTTGATGTAGAATATTCATTTATTCCTTCATTCATTCATTTTCTTTTCAGCTTAGTCCTTTTATTAATCTGGGGTCTCCACAGTGGAAAGAACCACCAACTTATCCAGCATATGTTTTAAGCAGCGGATGCCTTGCAGCTGCAACCCATCTCTGGGAAAACTGGAGAGAACATGCAAACTCCACACAGAAATGCCAACTGACCCAGCCAAGGCTCAGATCAGCGACCTTCTTGCTGTGAACCGACAGCAATACCTACTGGACCACCACATTGTCCCAATGTAGAATATACATAAATTTAAAAAAAATAATAATAAATCCACCTGCCTCGACATGTCAAAACAGCAGTATCCCACAAAACCATGGACTCCTCAATATGGTTTTCAATCCTGGTTCTGAGGACCCACCACATTTTATCTTTCAACCTTATTTAACACAGCAGATTCATCAGGAGAGAGATCCATGAACTGAATTGTCTGCTCTACAAGATTCCTAAAGGCATCCTGCAGTATCTGGCACAAATACATAACACCAGATTCTTCATGACCTTTACGATACAAGATGGAGCCACTGTGCATTGATACACCTCTCTGTTGCCCAATTGTGTTGAGATCTGAGGAACATTAGGGCCAAGGAAACTTTAAACATGGTCTTTAAACTATTCCTGACCAATGTGTGTAGAGTGGCAGGATGCAATTTCTGATTGAAAGGGGCCACATCTACCAGGCAATATACATGTCAATAATGGGTGGATGTGTGAAATTTGCATCCTTTAGATAAATGCTCATTGCCTCACTTCACCAGGTAAACTGATGCACCAGGTAAACACAACTCAACTGCCCAATTCAATTCAATTTGTTGAGTTGAAGTTCAGTTTAGTTCAGTGTGGTTTAATTTTCACTGCTGAAAGTCCAAACACTAAAGAGCAAATCCATCGATGCACAGCTCCACAAGTCTCAAACCAAGCTAGATAAAATAAAATAAGAATCACCAGACCACGTGACTACTTCTCTTAAGTCCAATTTAGTTGTGGATTTAGCAGCTTCATAGACACTTATTGGTCTTGGGAGTATGATTTACACATTAGCACATTCCTCTAGTCATACCTATTATTAAAGGTTTTATGAAAGTGTGCCACAGTAGACCCTCTGCTGAATCAGATGGGAAAGCCTTTTTTGCTCTTGTGCACTGATGAACATTTGATGTCACACACTCTGAGTGTGTGTGAATGAGAGTGTTTGGGTATTTTACCAACACTGGGGGTTTATGAGTTAATGTATCCTCAGTGCTGGGTTGCGGCCGGAAGGGCATCTGCCATATAAAGCATATGCCAGAGTAATTGATGGTTCATTGTGACAATCTGGGAATAAGCTGAATGAAAGTATTTGATAACAAATTGTAAGGATGGCTAAGTCTCTCAATAATATCAAACCCTGAGAACTGTTATGGAACCCCACAAGGCAAGACCATGAGAATTGTCAGGCACTAAAACAATAAACTTTCTAATCTGAGAAAAAGATCAGATAGGAAACCAGTTGTTCAACTGTCTCAGGCCCCGTTTACACTAATGCGTTTAGTTTGAAAACGCATAAGTTATGACAATCAGGGAATAAGCAGAATGAAAGTGTTTGCTAACAAATCTACCCAGACCTTACTACAGGCAGGCCTTGCACCAGGATGGCATAACTTAGTCACTTATATGTTATTATAACATATAATGTCCATTACAATTTCAGGAGGTAAAATCTTTTCATGGCAGTTCCTGCTACCACTTGTCACTGAATCTGCCATAAATCGGTTTGA